AAAAAAAGACAGTTACTCCCCTGTGGCTAGCCTGGAGGACATGAAGAGGAGGAGTAAAAACATGAGTGAAAAGGCCTCCAATTTTTACTGATTTTTTTTTAACAGATGCTGTTCCTGCTCACTGCCCCCTTTTCACCAGTTCGACAACCACTGTCACTACAAGACTCATCCAAGTTACCGCTTCTCCTGAATCTATTCCCCAAGTCAGAAGGAGTGACTTCTTCCTCTGCGATCTAAGCGGTGCTCCTGCTTCTACGCTACCAGTAAGTCTGATCTGCTTTAGGTGTTGTGTATCTCGCCGTCCTGTCCACTTGAGATCAGATCATCTTGTCCTTACGTCGGCCTAGCGCCCTTTCCCTCCTAGAGTAAGTGCTTACGACTTACAAAGTTCTAAGGTTAAGGTCAACAGACAAAGAATCAGTAAAGGAGCAGCCAAAGAAGCAAGAAGCAGAGGTACCAGAAACCAGGAAAGAAATGTGAAGAAGAGTGGTCGCTATTATGTAGAGATACACAGACATCTACTTATCGCAGGTATCATGTTCCTGGAACGCGCCATGCTTGTCCTGGCTTCAGCACCTCCGCAGTTGCTCTTCCTGCCGCTCGGAACACCTTTGCCCAGAGGCCGCGTGGCCTGCCCCCTCTCACGTCAGTCAGATCTCTACTCACACGTTTACTCCTTGGGAAACCTGTCCAGACTCCTCAACTAAAAAGGGTCACCCTCTATCCTCACTCCCTGCTCTGATTTATTTTTCTTCATTGTAACACCCTGATATTGTATTACATACTAGTTTGATGATTCATAGTATGTCTTCCCTAATAGAATATAAGTTCTGTGATCCCACAGAGAACAGGAACTTTGTTTTGTTTACAACTCTATCCCCAGCACATAGGAACAGTGTCTTGCATCTTATTTAGAAGGCATTCAGTAAATATTTACTGAATTAATAATTTATCTTTTCTGCTTTTTTTTTCCTTTTTTTTTTTAGAGAAATGGTCTCACTCTACTGCCCAGGCTAGAGTGCAGTGGGGTGATCATAGCTCACTGCAGCCTTGAAATCCTGGGGTTCAAGCGATCCTCCTGCCTCAGCCTCCTGGCTAATTAATATCATACTACTTTTACCATTTTTGAAAGTCATATAATGTTTTCATCAAAGCATATTACTTAAGAAAGATTATAAAACAAATACTTACTCTGGGCTACAGTTTAATTTTTTGAGTTCTAAATTCAAGTTAGGTACAGGAGCCCAAACCGGAGTCATGGGTAAGATATTCCTCTCCTGAGTGAGGTTCACAGGTCTCAGGCTTTCTGGTTGTGGAGAACTCTGAAGACTCAGTCCTCCTAGGCTGGAGGACAGCTGGTTCATGCCAGGATACTGCTGAAAGAGCAATTCAAACAAAACAAAAGAACAATAAAACAAACATACACAAAATTGCTTATACTATTACAGAATTTCAACACACACAAAAAGCAAAGAGGTAAGAAAATGTAAATCTGGCTTGGTAATAGGATGACTTAATAAGGCAGTCAATTTAAAGCATACTTGAAAAAAACTCAAAGCAAAAATACTGAATAAGTTTAAGTCCTAATAGCAAGATTAAACCTTGTGACAAAATTCCAGCAACAATGCTTTCAACATCAGCAATTTGGTTTCCCTGAGTACAGTTCATACTGGAAAGGCAGGATAAATGCTTGTTTTCATGTTGTTTTCAATTATCCATTTTCATAATCAGGAGTTGATGCCACAGAAATGTGCAATGGTGTTCAATGAGTTTTGCTTTGCTTATTTTTTCTGCTTCCTATATTTTTAGTATTATCATGAATTTATGGCTTTCTGTTAAACTCAAACTCAAATTATAGTCATTCGTATCACATACAAACTACCCAATGTTTGGCCAGTGAGAACCCTTTCAAGCTGGCCCCAGGGTCCTTTTGATATGAACCTATCAGTGTTTGTGAGCTTCCTTGCTTTTTCACACAACAGTTTGTACTCTTCCTCCTCCAAACTCAGGATTATTCATTTGTTCAAAAAAGAATCTTGGTTCCTTTTAGTAGGGATGGTATCCAGAAACCATAATCTGGGTGATAAAATGCTCATGACTATTGTGCTCTTATTACTTCCAGACATTTGCGACAGGTAAAGATACAAAATACACATTCTTAAATAGGAGAAAATAGTGAGTTCGCATTGATATATCTAATTCAAATTTAAGATGACACAATTTTAATTTTGATTTTATACCTGTATCTCTCTTCTTCCTTGCTAAAAATCTTGGTTCCTAATGGTAACAGCATTACTTGTTTTACCCTACAGTATACTAAAATAGTTTCAAAATAACAACATCAATATTATTATAAATGTAAGATTATTAATGTTTTAAAGGATACAAACAAAGGTAAAAGCAATAACACAAGAAATTATAATATGACTGTATAAAATTTAAACATTTCTCCAAGGTCAAAAAATATCATTAAAATTAAAAATAAATGTCAAGCTAAGGAAAAAGTGCAATATACATTAGACAAAAGATTTACACTTATTAGATACACAGAACAATGGTGAAAGAAAATAAACAGGGATTTCAGTAAAGAAACACAAAATCATTATGAAAAAAATAAAAGATTTTTGCTTATACAAAATAATTCTTGGTATACTTAGTAATAGAGAGAAACGGGCAATCGTGTGCACTTTTGCTTGAACTGTAAATTGGGACATTATTTCTCCACAACCGACCACCAACACTGATCAACTACTGATTGCCTGGCATCTCCATCTGCATGTCCATCAGGAGTTTTAATGTAACATGGACAACCCGACTCCCATTCCCAGATCCACTCCTCCCTTTGTCTTCATGACCTAAGTAAATGCACTAACCTCCACCCAGGTGCTACGCCAGAAACCGAGCAGTCAGCTACTCCTGACGCTGTCCCTTCTCTCACCAACGCATCCACCCTTCAGCACGTCACCTGCAACCGCTCACTTTTCATTATCTCCCCGACACCGCCTCAGGTACAATCGGCAACTTCCTGGGTTAGCTTGGCAGCTTCAATTTGCTCCCTGCTTCTACTTTTGTCTTTTCAGGTACTCCCATCTCTAATCCGTTCCTCACAAAGCAGCCAAAACGATTTTCTAAATGTGTAAATTAGATATCATTCCATTACACAAAATCTCCAACCTCCCCCCTTTGCACGTGGGTAGAAGTGAAGCTTCTGATGATGGTCCTTCTCCGGCTTATCTGTGTTTGTACTTATGATCCACGCGAATCCCCAGGGACGTGTCAGAACCGGTTAGTTTTACAGCTTGTGCAGTGTCTTCACATGACTGAACCCGTACCTGAGGATACTGCTGGAATCCAGAGTACACAGGGTTACCGGGCTGCGCGCCGGCCGTCAGTGGTGCCGCCGCATTCTGGTAACCGGGCTGCAGAGTCGGGTAGCCGTAGCCGAAAGGCTTAGCCAGTTTTGAAGGCTGAGAAGCAGCGGGGGCTGGAGCCGGAGCCGGAGCCGGGTCGGACTCGGGGGCGGGATCAGGAGCAGGACTGCTTGCTGATGAAGAAAGCATATCTAACAGCGGGAGAAACATGGCATTAAAGACCTGACTCCCGGGTGATCCAAAACCTTTGGCATTTCCCTTTTCCTTTTTTTAAACTTTCTATTATGAGAAATTTTGAACACACACAGTAGAAAGAATAGAATAATGAACCTCACATACTATCACTCCGCTTCAATAATTAGCAATAATTTGCTAATTTTGTTTTACATGTTGTTCTCCCCCATCTTTTTTTGCAGGAATCTTTATAAGAAAACCTCACTGCGAGCCCTAGACCTCCTCACTGCAGAAAAGGGAGGGACCTGTATATTCCGAGGAAAAAAATGTTGCTACTACATAAACCAGTCTGGAATAATGACATCTAAAGATTAAAAAAAAAAAAAAACCTCATATTTCATATCACTTCACCAACAAATACTTCAGTTGGTATTTCTAACAGACACACACACAGCTAGTAGGTTTTTTTTCTTTTTAATTCTCTCAGCAGGAACAGGGGGGCTAAGAAGCAGAAAACATAGCAAAGTAATACAAAGGGTGCTAACCACTCTTTTTTTAACTTGTCTTTTATCTGACCCTGCCATCTATATAAAAAGTCCACGGAAGGTATGATTCCACAGTCCCCTAGAAGTCTGCGTTATTTGCCGAGGCAAAACTGTAAGTACAGTATAAAAGGTAGTGTCTAGAATAATGTCCAGCTCCTAGAACAATGTGTGGTATGCAAGAGATGCCAAATAAAATTTATTTAATAAATGAATGTTCTTTTATTATTTAAACTTAAAACAAAAAGTAAAATGCACTTTAAACTTTGAAATAATTGTAGGAAATTTAAACATCATGTGCAAAAACAGCAACAACCAAAAGAAACTCTAAAAGTTACTCTACTACACACAACCATTACTAACAATTTGGTATGCTGCTAGTCTTACTTTAAAGTCACCTCTATAATGTATTTTCATTTTATTCACATAAAAATGATATTCTTCACCAGCAGACTCTGCAAAAAATATGTTCTTAAAAGCATCTGACTTAATAAAATTTATTTTTAAAAAGTATCTTGAGGCATCACATCTTTCTATTGGCTCTATTGGTTCTAATTTTGAAGATACATTTCTAGGCCTCTGCTATCATCTTGCGCTGGTTAGAGAAGGGTTGCCTTACTGGCTTTCTGGCAACCTCTCAGATTTCTTAAAAGGACAAGAGCTTCAATGCAGCACCACAATCCTTAGATCTCTTGCTTGTTCCTCCTCGTGGTGATGGGAACATAGGTAGAAGGTTCTCTCAACATGACAAGTCATCAGCATAAAAAATAAAAAATTGGAGTCATAAACATGGAAGCCTAAATCTTCTCCCCTTCTTGAGGAAAGGACAATATTTCATACATTTCTATAGTCCTAAGATCTATCCTAGTATCTGACATACAGTATACCTTCAATTCGTTTCATATTAGTGCTACAGATGTTCACATATTTCCTTAATTTGGGTGCGGTATAAATAGCTAGAAAAATTGCTCAAGGTCACTGACATCCTATCAAAGTACCGTTCATTATAAGATTAAAATTTGTTGATTGAATGAATATAGACAAACCAAAGTCTGAGTCAAAGGGCCATGATCTTCTAACTATATACCACACCGGACTTTTCACTTTGGGTTAATTTAGAGCTCATGAGATATTATATAGTTATATGTTCATCTTTTAGTGAATGAAGTAAACTCTTCTAGAATTTTTTTTTTTTTTAAGAGAGAATCTTGCTCTGTTGTCCAGGCTAGAGTACAGTGGTATGATCACAGCTCACTACAACCTCAAACTCCTGCGCTCCAGCAATCCTCCTGCCTCCACCTCCCAGGTAGCTAGTAGAGTATGTTGACAATAGCTTGCTTTTGGAATGGTTTACAAGTTCTTACACACACACACACACACACACACACACGAATTGCCAGGGGAAAAAAATCCTTAACTACAAATGACTTGAGTAGCTTATTCAAATATTCTTAAAATAGTAAAGGAAAATTCTGTACTAAGCTGAGAAGATTAAAGTTTTCTACTGATTCATATTATAGTGATAGCAAGATAGTGTGAGTTAAGGATAGCACATTCCAACTTCAATTAAGCTTCATCCTAGATTATTATAAAAGATAAGAAATAAAGAGAAGTTACTTCTATTAGTCCTGAAGTTTGGAATCTTTAGGAAAAGAGAGATCAGGTATGGTTGTCAGGTTGTCAGAGATAAGAGAGAGGAGAGTAAGAAATCACAGTGCAGGATATCAAAATGAAATGACTATTAATTATAAAAGTGAAACCTTTTCTTCCTATTAATACTACCCACCCCTCCTCTACTTTAATGACCAGTTATTTCCAGATTTGGTTAAAAGTGATGCCTCCAAAACGTACCCCAAAGAGGGCAAATCTATTGACCTAGTGGAAGCAGCCAGGAGCCACAGGCTGAGCAAAGAGTCAAGGACTATTTATATGCAGAGGCTAATTGAAAGGAATTCAAGAACCAAAGCATGAAAACAAACATATGAAATTTATTTAAGTAGTTTAAAAAAAAAAGAGGAGGAAAATTATTCACTATCATGTCTTCTAAGCCAGGCACGGTAGCACACGCCTGTGGTCCCAGCTACTCAGGAGGCTGAGCCGGGAGGACCACTTGAGCCCAGGAGCTTGAGACCAACCTGGGCAACATGGTGAGAACCCGTCTCCTTAAAAAAAAAAAAAAATCTTCTACAAAGAGGAAAAAGATAAAGAACATGATAACAAAAATAAAAAGAAACTCCTTCTGCCTCCCAGAAACAAATTCAAAGTTGTTATGTGACAGTTAACACTATTAAATTAAGAGTGAGAAAAATATAGCCTGATTACATGTAATATATGTTCATGACTGAAAGCAATTGATGGTCGATAATTTTTCTTTTTAATAATTTTTAAAACAAATATCAGGCAAGCACAAAACAACCAATTACCTGGGTAGCTGCCTCCTTCTAACGCGTCGTAACTGTTGGGCATTGGAGAAGCGCTGCTTGTGGTAGAAGAGCTGTCGACACCTGAAAAGAAAACCAAAATACCTACTAAGTTTAAAATGACAATGTATCTTAAAACAGCCTTTGGCAATTTTGACAAAGATGTTTTTCCTGAACTAGGAAAATTCCTGACTCTAGTAAAAAAGTAAAATGTTTAATGAAAGACATTTAAAAAACCATATATGAATTTCTGTTAATGAGAATGGGGGATGAGAGTGGGGAGAATATGAAGCTGATGAATGGGGTAAAATTCAGTTAAACACATGTAAGGTATCTTAGAGAAGAAGAGACATCAAATATGAAAAGTAGTTAAACACATAAATATAAATTTTAGGTTGACCAAAATGTTAATATAGCCACACCTTAATGATTATTACATCTACCAAATCTCATACTATTAAATGTATTTTATCAGTATCAGGACATTTTAAGATAATTAAATTTTAGTGACTTTTATAACACAGCACATCTGTATGAAGTATTAATAACAGAGGAGTCAATGACTTTGGTTGCTACCTAGCATGCTACTAAGCTTTTCTGTGCCTCAGTTTATTCACCTGCAGAATAGAGATTAAGCAATATCTGCCATATTTAATAAGGAAATACAAATGAAAGGCACTCTAATAAGTGTTAGACTGTAAGAATTTTTATTATGTGTGTTCATTCAAAACTTGTAAGATTAAGAGGAAAGTTCCACGGTAATGTATGAATTCTGGTGATAAGTCACATGGATAATGGAACATACAATATATTTATTTCATTCATTCAACAAATATTTTGCTGAGAACCTATAATTATCCTAGGTAGATACACTAGAGAATATACTAATGAATAAAACCGAAAACCCACATGGTCCCTCTCTCGTGTTAGACACCTTGGTCTGTTTCTAACTAAGACAAAATTCTGTGGTACAGGTTATCCCTGGCTCTTAACACAAATATTATAACTGGGGTTTATCAACTGTGATATAAAAAGAATAGGTATGAACAATTATCTTTCATTGAGTAATCTGGATACCATGAGAATCAGGCATATTGACTCAGGGCGTAATAGTTAACGTTATTTGTGTAGAAACATTTTATTATCAGTAAAGAACA